ACATAGATTTTATTAAAAATAAAGTCTGAAAAGGAAAAAAATAATTATTAACATATTTTGTTTCCTCTGATAAAACTGAGCAACTCGCAGCAAGTAGGCAGCAAAAGATCAACAATATTAAAAGGAAAAGAGCAACATTCCAAAGTTTATATTGGCACATACCTGCATAGGTATATTTTCATCCTTTTGGCTGCTTATACGTCTAACAATGCCACCGTTCGAAACATTGATTACAGGTTTTGTCAGGGGAGCAGGGCTTGTTCTTTTTCTGTGGAGGAAACCCCACCCGAGGAATATAGAAGCAAGTACAATGTACACTACTGCCATTGCAACTTCAACGCATTTTGCCTGCATTTATGAGAGCACAAAATGCAAGTTCGAGTTGCTGACATCACTGCCTACCATCAAAAGATGGGTGTAGCATAAAAAGGGAAAATTAAAATGAGATCCAGACTAATTAAACAGTACCCAACTTATTCTTCAGAAGTACAAACTGTAAAAAGCCCTTTGATTTTATTTATTTATTTATTTTCCCCTTTTCAAATTTTAGCATTTACAAACACAAAAGTAGGTCTTAGTAATATAATGGATTCTTCAAAATTTACATATTAATTGCAACTTAAATACACTAAAAGGTATGAAAATTTCCAAATATAACAGCGCCTTTTCGTATGTGCCTCACAACGGCAGCTTTCGCATATTTTCCTAAAAATAATTAGCCAAGCATCTAAATTAAATAGAACTCACATTTAGAGATCCTATCCTCAATGAACAGGAATCTTTCTTGGGTGATTGAGCAGGTTCAGAACTCGAACATGCGGATGCAGAAGGACAATCACCACACGAACAACCTAATGAGGTATCACCACATGAATACGTGGACACATTCATTGGTCTCATTCCCGATGATTGTGGGACCATAGGCAAGAAATTTATAGCATACGGTGAGCCCGGTAAACCCAACTCAGCCCGTCTACCGATAAATGCAAACCACTCTGTAATACAGTCACTAATCAGTAAGAATGATAGTTCGGATTCACAGCAGAAAAAAAGAAAATTGAAAAATCAGCTTACCGCTAAAATTTTTAGCACTAGCACCAATAAATTCTATTGCTCGTGAATTCATGGAGCCGAATTTTACATCTTTGCAGGATTCGAACATTCCCTCGCCAAAAGCATCAGTTACGTAATAGTCAATTCCATTAACAGTTGTGTTTCTCCCGACCTTAGCAAGTCACAAAAGAAAATAAACCAATGGCTTTGTGATTGAACAGAATATACCAACTAAATAGAATCTCTTATTTACAAATTGAATAACTCACCTTGGAAATGGAGGTCACATTAATAAATTGAGCTTGATTCGGGGAACATGTGAGCTCACAGAACAGATTCAAGAAATTTCTCAAACAAGCTGGACAACCTACAACAAAGGGAATGGCCTGCAACAAATCAACTAAGAGAATGTAAATGAAAATTTAAAGGAAACACAATGAATGTGAACAGTGATTGATCGAGTGAGATCACACATTATTCTTTCGACTCAAACATAGGTCCAGGATTCTGGTATGATCATTTCTTACAATTTACATTCATCTTTTCTTTGTGACCACTATTGTTACAAGCTTGTGAGAGTTCACTTTCTTACTTGCTGAACTTGTGTCCGTAAAACATCAAACTGCTCCACCGTACAACATATATTTCCAGTAATTGTAGGGCACAAACTTTGAATCTTCTGGGACAGTAATTCATCCGGCTGCCAGAAGAAAATAAATAAATAAACAATTAATAACAAATACAAAATAAAAATCCATTGAAGCGACAGTTGTAAATAGCTACCTGATAATCAACAGAACTAAAACAAAATAACTGAGTGCATCTTTCATTTTTTTGTTTTTGTTTTATTTTTAATATCATAATCAATTACCTCTGATGCATAAAGTACTAGGAAAAGGACAATACTGAGAAGATGAGACATACCTTGACAGCAGGCCTAGCAAGAGGGCAATTGAGTACTTTACCGTCAGTGCGCTTTCCACAGATGCCATACATTGCACAGTACCCCTCCGAATGACTTTCCCTGATAATCACAAACATTCGCCAATCAATTTATTTACAGCTCCATAAATATTTCTGCAGCTCAACAGCTACTGGCAAAGAAAAATCGACCAAATCCCATAACCCATAATTTGATATTTTTTATTTANAAAAAAAAAAAAAGAAAAAGAAAAAGGAAAAAACGAAGTTGATAAGAAATTGTCCATTTCCGGGCAAACGAAAAGGCAGACATACGCATTATCAGTCAACAGAAGCCTCGTATCCCACCGTTCACCATTAACCACCGCTGCCACCACAAAAAATATCTGAAAAATAGAAAGGAAACAGTTTTTTTCCATCCATTAAACAACAGTTACCGCCAAAGTACATTCGCTGGGAACGCCGGCGAACAAAAATAAAAATTAAAAAAAAAATCTCTAGTCAGGCAACCCACCGGCAACGCGAAACGCATGACGGCCCTCCTCATTTTGCTCCCCTGTAATAGTAAGCCCATTGCAGAAAATGGACCTCCTATCCAAAGGGGAATCCAAATCTGAACCCTCACAACCACTATGTATGTGCCTCCAGAAGCAATAGAAAAGTGAATAAGGAAGAAAGAAGCGGAAAACAGGATACCAAAAGTCCTATGGCAGTCCGCAAAAGGCTGTATATGAAATTATGAATGTACAGTTGAGGAGGTGCTTTTCCATAAGCAGAGTTCTGTGTGTGTATTATAGTATATTCGCGTGTATGTGTGAGAGAGAGAGGCATAAAGGATAGCGAAGTATTATTATGGTTGCGCAAGTTTTAAGGAACAAAATCCTGAATCAAAAGTAAATGACGAAAGAGCCCTTGCTTTCGGTCACTCTTGTCGGGCGAGGGGTAAATGAATAATAATGTTTGCCATTCTACCTCCACCTATCATTACATTCTTCTCTAGTAATTGCAACTGAAGATGGTAGAGTTTAGTTATTAGTACATTAAATGATAAAAAGGAATTTTTTCAATCACAACATTTCAATTTCAATAATGAGCTCTCCATCTTCGCGGTCAATCATCAATAATATTTTCTCATATGAATCATCCAAAAAGGTTTATCTTAGAGCGTGCTTGTTTACTCACTTATGAGCTTTTTATTTATTTTTTTTCTTAATTAGAGTTAATTATAAAAAAATTGGTATAATTAATTGTGGGAGAAAATTTAGAGGATGTTTAGATACAAAAACTATCCAAAAAAATTCAAATATTTTTAACTCAATTTTAACTTAACTCCACTATCATCAATATTATTAGTTTAATTAAATAATATCAACCAATCATTTTTACACATCACATCAACTTTAATTCATTATTCATCCACTCACATAATTTTAACTAACCATCAATTCAAATATCTCTCTCATACTTTTACATCAAATCAACCTTAATTATTTTATTTTGAATATTATTTTAATATATCTCACTAACAACTAACCATACCACATTTTTCAAATTAATCAAACCAAACAAAAAAATCCAACCAAAATCAAAATATTTTATATCCAAGCATCCAAAAGGTTTACATAGAAACAATATTTAAAATAAATTGATTAAAATTAATTTGATGTAAAAGTAGGAGATAAATAATTGAAGGGAAAAATTCAAAACTAGTCCCACAGGTTGAAGGGGATGTCATTTTTGGTCCCGCAAGAAAGTGATTATCACAAATAGTCCCACAGCTTTCAAAGAGTAATCAAAAGTATGACTTTTGATGCGATTACGGGTCTGAAATGCCCGATAAGACATGTGGCGCAGATGTAGCGTTTTTTTGACATGTTGGCAGCCTTCATCACACGTGGTATGGCAGTAAACCTATGGGACTAGTTTTGAATTTTTTTTTCTATTTTTTATATTGTTATGCTCTCCTTTTGTTATATAAATTCTTATATATATATATTAATATAATATATTATTAAGTAAATCTATGACAAGATCATGAATATATATATTATTTATTATAACTATTTATAAACAATTTTATTTATGAATATAGATTATACATTAAAATAAATTTAGAAAATATTTTTAATTCCTTTTATTTTGTGATGTGTTATTTTTAATAGGTATTCTTTTAGCTTCTTTATAATACTAATTATAAAAAAATAATTTTATTCATGAAATAATTGTAGTTAACATGTTTTACTATATTTTTAATTAAATAATTATAAAATTACAAACAAAAATTTAGAAATATGAATATTCGATAATACATTTCAACAATTGTACAATGCTTTAGAAAAAAATTCTTAGAATTATTCTTTTTAACAATATCTAGAGTTACGGATGCTGATTTTCTGAACTCGTGTCATTTGTGCACTTCAAGACTGAGATATTTACATGTACAGGAAAATAAACAATTAATTACTTTTTCTTTTTTGGTTTGCTCTTTCCATTTGAGATGACCGCAAATAATTTTAGAAACATCATATTATATGAATTTGTTATCTATATTTTCTTGGAATTATTCTTTTTAATAGGTAACTTACTTAAAAATATGAATATTTGATTAACTTTTTAAGCACTGCTCAATGTTTAAATTGATTTATTATCGAATATTCGCATTTCAAATATAATGTTTTTTTGGTAATTTTTGTTTTTAATAAAAATATAGTATAAATGTTAACTATAATAATAAATTGTTATAAAATTATAAAAGTAGTTTCATTCTTAACTGAATTAAATTTAATACATTTCCTGCTGCACCAGTGTCAGGGCTTGCTTGGTTCTGTTCGACTTCGCCTGCGTGTGAGTTGCATTTGAAGATAATATGCAACTTCATCCCCGCACTAAACCCCAAAAAGTCAACCCAACGAACAAGGTCCAAGATCCTAGTCGTGCAAAGATCCAAGCAGCATATTCTGATTCAAGGTTCTTAATCCGTCTTTCTTGTTCTATAACCCGGGATTAGACTGAACCCGAGCTAAGGAAAGGATAGCGATAGCGAAATGCAGTATCACCCGCCTGGGGCCTATTCTAAACTTTTTATTCATGAAAAATTTTGTTGGTAATTTTTAATTATTTAATAAAAAATATAGTAACTATTTATGTAATTTTATAATTATTTAAAAATATACAAAAAAATTAACTCTAAAATTAAATTATTATCAAATTACAAAAACTGTTTTATTCAATTTACCAAGTGACATATCAAATGGATGGCCACCCAATTGGAGGGAGAGGTCATAAGCGTCTACACTGTAAAATCAATTTCTGACGGAATAAAAACGAGATATATGGTATAATTTATAAAATTACAAAAATAGTTTTATTCATGACATAATTATAGCTAACATTTTTATTAATGGACATGTTTTTTTTATTTTATAATTTTATAATTATTTAATAAGAAAATATAGTAATTATTAAAAATAAATTAACTATAAAATTAAATTATTATAAAATTATAAAATTAGTTTTATTCATAACATAATTATAGTTAACAATTTTTTACTATATTTTTCACTAAATAATAAATAAATTTATAAAAACAATATGTCATGAATAAAAAAAAAGTTAACTATAATTATTTGATAAATAAAAATATTTTTTGTAATTTTATAATAATTTAATATTAAAAAGAAGCTAAAAGAATGTCTATTGAAAATAACACATTACAAAATAAAAGTAATTAAAAATATTTTCTAATTTTATTTCAATGTATATTGTATCCTTATTCATAATTAAAATTTTTATAAATAGTTAATACAAATAATTATATATATTCATAATGTTGTCTTAGATTTACTTAATAATATAAGAAAATAGGAAAACAATCAAAACTAGTCCCACAGGTTTACTGCCATGCCACGTGTGATGAAGGTTGTCAGCATGTCAAAAATATCGCCACATCTGCGCCACATGTCTTCTCGGACTTTTTAGACCCGAAATCGCATCAAAAGTCCTACTTTTGATTACTTTTTGAAAATTGTGGGACTATTTATGATAATCGCTTTCTTGCAGGACAAAAAATGACACATCCCTCAACCTGTGGGACTAATTTTGAAATTTTTCCAATAATTGAAAGTGATAGTTTGTTAAAAGGATGTGTAGCTGATTAAAGTTGATTTAATGTATAAGGATGGTTGATTGATATTATTTAATTACATTTATAATATTGATGATAGTAGAGTTGAGTTAAAACTGAGTTAAATTTTTAATATGAGTGAATATTTTATAACAAACTCACCCTCAATGTTTAAAATTTGAATTTGATGTAAACTAGTACAATTCACGTGTATCACACGGGTGCTTGTTAAAAACTTATATTTTTAAAATTTTCAAAAAAACGAAATTGTTGTAATTTCTAAATACACTTTTGAAAAGTATATTATTATTTATATTTAAAATGAGGCTTACCATCTTATATTATAATTATTTTTTAACTATATCATATAAATATTTTACAGTTAAATTAATTTAAATAATTTTATTTTTTCCAATTAATACTAATAGGTAATTTATTTTTATTATAAAATAAATATAATTACTTATTTATTATTGTGGACAATATAGATTTCAAATCGAAGCTCGTCAAGACATGACTTATTTATTATATTATATATAAAAATTGATAATAAATAAAAAACTTATTAACTTTTAAATTATAAGACTTTTAGAAACTTTTGTAACAAAAATAAAAAGGCAAAGTCCTAGCAGAAATCTCATCAAAGTGCTGAGATATTGCTAGACTTATGGGAGTCTCTGTTAGGGTATACTGTAAAAGATCAGCTTTCAGTTTCTGACAATACCATTTTGAATGTGATTCATGTTTTAGTCAAGTGAATGTTTGCAGTTTATATATTTATGCGAACGTAGTTCCTTTATTTTACATTGTAAATAATATGATTCGATGTGTCGAATAGAAAGATCATATTATTGGTTCATTGTAAAATATAAATATTTGTTCACAACCCAGACTGAATTGAACTAATTGTCATAAAAGGTCGTAGTGTGATTTTCGAGTTAGTTGATCTTTGACTACCGAATTACACTAGCACATATCAGATGTATTGAACGGATCAACGGAGGATAAGATTATTTTATACTGACCAAGTAAATAATATAGCCCTCACTAATTGTTGCTTTCTCTTAACCTATAAGACAATAAACGGGCATATATATTCAATTGTTATTTATTTGATGTACCAAGAGCGAGACATATTCTTTTAGGTCAATAGACTAAGTATTTTGGTACATATTTTCGACTACATGATGTGTTGTTGAAATTGTTTACGGTCACTGTGTCCCAATTCGTCGGGTTGATGACGTCCCTGAAATAAGCTCAAGAAGAATTATTAAGTCAAGCCCTGAATGCGGATTAATTTTTGACATAATAATAAAGAATTAAGTTCTACAAGTTTTAGTTCAATAAGTTGATTAATTATGTTGTCAATAATTAATTTAACTATTCACTATTTCTTGAAGCTCGATCTCTCCCCCGGATAAACC